TGTGTATTGGTTTTTCGTCGTGTCACAAAGCAAAACATGCATAACCCTCCGCAAACACGTGCTCCTTCACAAATTAGCACGTGATTGTCGCGCGCGCATTTTACAATGCTTTTATGCCAAGGTCGTGTACTCTATACTCTTATACTATACCACACATTGTTTGCGTCGTGCGCTTGTAATGTACTTCTATCCGCTGTTATACTTATTCATGTTGCTGCGAATTGATAATGTCGTTCAAGCTTTTGTTTACTTCATACGATACAATGCAATCTTCTTATAATGTTTTGGGTGCTTGGTGGTACCACAGACTTGGCTCCCTATCGCGATATTAGTAATCCGTTATATTGTTGTATAAATTATGATGTTAATGTTATGTTGAACATGATTGCGAATAGATTGATTCATTATACGAAATGAACGATACATTTTATTATGATTCACATTGTATTACCTACCACAGATTTGATTGGGCGACATCTGTCCGACAGTCGAATTACTTGTATCACGTGGTGACCACGGTCGCTTCACTATAGAAGCCTGTAGAGTTTCGACGATACAGGGGGAGCCGCGCACTCGTGCGCGGCGGGTCTTACAACGTATGACAAGGTGTCACAACGTGATACAAGGATATTATATGTTTGTTTGTTTGTTTGTTTATAGAACCCGTCCCCAATCTCGTATCGGAAAATGACTAAACTCAGGTCTGAGTATGAATACGGGTGGTACCTGCAAGAGTGTTCATTAAGCATTTAGAGTTCTGTAAAACTGCAGTTACAATTGTGCTAGAGTATTTTTAGTATATACGATTGGTATCAGATATATATCCCTACTTGCTTCCAAAATTTGTAAAGCCGTAGTACATACATATCACATTACACCGGAGCCTACACAGTGCAATCTCCTCCAGTCGATCTGCGCCGCGTATGTTTATATAAGCTCGCGGCGCAGACTGGAGAAAACAACACTCTGCAAGTTCGATCCAGTGCAATGCTACATGTACGTACTACGGCTTCATCTCCAACTTTCTGCACAATGTACTGGAATGTTTTGAAGGAAAAGAAAGAACAAAAAAGTGATATATATAAATAAAATCAGCGATTTAATGTTAGCCTTAGGACGGTAACTTTAATTCCATGGTTTCTCAAATCAGCTTAAAAAAAAAGAAAAAAAAGTATGTAACGTCGATACCAAACCGATTATTGAGCGATAATAACTGAGTAGTTGATTCCTGGGTTGCGAAGTCATTCAGATGTTCCAGTCTTCGAATGTAGTTCTTGTTCAGTTCTTGACCAGAAGTGTCTAATGAAGTAAGTCAGACAAGCAAACTCTTCCTTAAATGCTGATATAAGTCGTCTCAATCCCAGAAATTATGAATGATGACCCAGTGTAAAAGTGCAGAAATCGGCCGAAAATAACAAAGACTAAAAACAGTTGAAAAGTGACAGGATTCAAACACAAGGAAAATTAATAACTTAGAGCGTAATAAGGAATATCTCCAAACGGAGTTTTCTGAGAGGGTGAGAGGTTCTTTAATTAGAGCTAATGTTTAAATGGGCCCCACTTAATGTACTAAATTAATCGGACTGCTGAGAGGGTGAGAGGTTCTTTAATTAGAGCTAATGTTTAAATGGGCCCCACTAAATGTACTAAATTAATCGGACTGCTAGCAAGGAATCGAGAGTGGGAATAAAAATAAAAGCGGAATAAATTTTAAGATAATCAGGATATTATATAGTGTGTATATAGTGTGTATTGGTTTTCGGACAAGAGTCGCTGTCAGATAAGGGTCGTTTTTGGCGACATCTGTCCAACTTTCGGATCACATTTGTAATTTCGGGTCACGTTCGTACTTCACAAGCTCACGGGTAATCTTGTGACGTTGCTCCCACAGTCCTAATATAATGCTGATTTGATCCATAATTGAGATCTGATCCACCGATACGTGATTGACTATTTGAGGACAGGATCATCATCATGCTAGCCGTATACACAAAGTGCCAATAGTAGAGGCTCTTACGGGCATTGTCTGCTCGATACGCTAGGGACCCCAGATACACCATACTAGACGTATTTTTGACCGTAGAATCGATTAAAAGTGGTGTTAAGATGATTGGACTGACTTTTTGGGGGTAAAATTGCAAAAAACCGATTTTTGGGCGAAAAATAGGCCAAAAAACCATGTTTTTTGATATTTTGAACAAGTTAATTTTGTTGGCATGTCGGCAAAACTTGCATGGAGATAGCTAAAACACAGCCGCACAAGATGATATAAAAATTTGAAAAACCCCTCTATTTTTTTTGGGGTAAAAATCCAAAAAAGTGGTAAAAATTTGACTTTTTTTGCTTGAAGTTTAAATAATTTTTTGCAGTTGTATTAAATCAACCCAAAAATAGTCACATCGTGTTTGCCTAAATTTTTCCTTTCCGAGAAGTACCCACTTCATATACTTTATCGAAGTTTGAATATTGTCACTCCGCAAGCGTTTTTGCCAAATTTTCGACGCGCACTACGCGCAAAAGCATTTAGTTGTTATCAATTGGCACCCGCGCGTTCATCATAAATTTCAAACAGCTATAACTCTGCGAGATTATGTCCGTTCTAGCTCATATTTTCACACTAAATAGAAAATAATGTGATCTTATTGCTGACAAAATATGAATATAATTACTCTATTTGCCTTAGAGTAATAGACTGTCAAAGTTTAAAACGCGCATTGGTATAGCACGTGACTAATAAGGCCAAATTTATACTTCTTAACATATTATCGATCCTTAGACATCATACTATTGCTATTGTGTCCAATTTAATTTAATTTAATTTTAATTAGCGGTTAGGTCTCTAAAATCGTAGCAGAAAACACGTCTTTTTGCCCGTAAGAGCCTCTACTACAAGTGCCAATCTCATCACAGCCTACATTACACACAGCTAGGAGAGCGCCGAGAGCGGTATCATGGAGATCAGTTATTTATATAACATTTAAACTATTGTCCAATTTTTGACATCAAATGAAAATAAACTATGGTAGACTTAGAGTTCAGCTCAGGTCATATCTCAGTTCAGATCATGTCTCCAATTGGAAAATGGAAATGTGTCGTATTGCAATTAGATCACAATATCGGACAGATGTCTTTTTTTCTGGTAACATATTGAAGGACTTCGCCGCTTCGACGCGCCGCGCGAACTAGCATTCTTGCTTCGCATCGAAGATCGTTTTTTTCGCAGAGCAACGATCTCGATGGGTTGACATCGTCAACCAATGACCAAGTTTTTGGAGTTGGGTTACATCTTGGTGACAGTAACATATTGAGTCGGACAAGAGTCGCTGTCGGACAGGTGTCCTTTTAACTGCATCATGCATATCACCGCACAGGCTACATTATATTTATTACGGTGTCCGGTCGTTCAACTTTCGATTCAAATAATTGACAACGGCAACCATTCCATTTTGTTCTCTGGAACGCCCCAAAGAAATTTGGTAATTTAACCAATATGGAACGATCGTTAATTGTAATTAATTACGGTCGATGGAAATCTAGCGTCCGCTAACCGGCGCAATTCTTGTTAAACCAATAGTTGTCGACGTTTCGGCCCACGCCGCGCCTTTGTCATGGACGAGACCAGAGACGTTGCAATTACTTTCTACATAGCTGCAATTTACAACGCGCAACGTTAAAAATAATCTGTCATACATCATATAACTATAAATATCGTGAAATACCTACATTATTTGCAATTTGGTCAGACATCCGGATCCCGACGGCACTCTCGTTGCCTGGCACTATGGAACTGGAAGCACTCTCGTGGCATCATCGATTATGATCATGGCTGTGTGAAAGGTTGACGCATGACCAATGACGGTCTAACCTGGGGACCTCAGGCTATTATGTTCATAAACGTATAGAGATTCGGCGGAATGACAGGCTGAGCGCCGCCCAGTAAATGACGGTCGGGATGTAATTGACATACGTTGCATGCCACTTTCCGCCGAATATTATCTCTGATATTGGGATACGAAACATGTATCAAGGATGTAATGGCACGACACACATGCTCGCCGCTCTATTACGCGCTACTAGGCATATAGTGCGCGTGCGCGCGATATTAATTGTTAAAGCGCATACTCGACCAAATTGCTTTAATATGTCTATTTAAGTTCGGCGATCGCGCTTTCCATAGTTCAACAAAGGCTTCGGCGAACGGGAGTTTGTTCAACATGCCTAGCCAAGGAATATATTATTTGGGAACTAGTTAATTATTTGAAATATACACCTTGTTTATTTATTCGGAATGAAATATCATAGAATCCATTAAAAGTTGAGGTATGCATTCTCAGTCAGGTAACCTACCTATGGCTATGTACTGTGACATATGTTGATTTTCGTCAAGACTTGACGGGGCTATCACATCAGTTGACCACTCCACTCCCAAGGTATACTGAGGTACTGACAAAAATTGTTTTCCGTCAACAAATTGCTGCCAGATTTGGTGCCCCTCAGAATTAAGAAGTATCAGTGAGCTGCATGAAGTGTAAAACTTCCTCGAAAATTAGGGAAATCACTGCGCCTTATTATTTATTTCTACAGCTTAGCAACTAGAAAGTTCTGAAAGCCCGTCAACCACACCCTTGGTTGATGAGCACACCTTCCCCTTGATGAAACAAGCGTTACTACATATTAGTAACATGGGGTGCCATATCTCTTCGTCATTTCTGATAATGACAATACAAACAGTGTTAAATCAAAAATTTTCATCGATCCATAACTCCGCTTCCGGACCACCGATTTAAAAAATTCAAAAATGGGTGTTAGGAGAAATTTCTGACCTTGTTTGGACGTTAGAAATTATGGTCATTCGTGCTTCAGAAGAGACTGGCAGGCCCATAAATAAGGGGTTTGATCATGATAATGATAACATTTATGAAGGAGCACATGTTTTAATAGCGAGTGACGAATTTTTCTCTACTTTGACATTACCATAAAGATTAAAACAGAATATCTTTGTACTGCATTGTTCGATTTCGATGAAATTTACAAGGTAACGAGACCAAATGTCTCTCAGTTTATTTAAATAAATACCGTCGGAGTTGTCAATATGCAAATAATGTAAAACTTACATTATGTTTGTTGGCGTGATGTTTAACGAACATGTGTTCTCTGTTTATAGGATGGAAAAGCACGTTGAATAACAATTAACAGATTTGAATATTATTATCTGTAGTGAATTATTTCGTCATTAACGGTACATGATCTCCACGCTGTAACAGAGACTAATTCGGGGCAAAAATAACAAAATTATATTTCTTGTATCAGTTTACAGCCGTTATGTTGGGAAATTTTACTTTTGTAATTGAAAAATGTAGGATGATGTCATTAAACATTTTCTTACTTAATGACAGAAAAATAGTTTACCTTTTCCAGAAAATTGTAACCAAATATTAGAAGATACCGGGCGGATACTAGTATTGTAAAGTGAAACTCTGAACATTTCATCATGATCAAATATAACAGCGCCTATAATTCCATAGAATAACAACAATGATGTTACGCAAAACAAGGCGAATTGTAAGTATTATCTTCAGACTGAACACATGTGTAATGGTGAGCAAATGATTGGTCTTCACTGTCGTTATTTAAGAAGTGTTATAGTATTGGATGACACTGTGATAATATGCGACTAAGCTTTATGTGGGCAGCAATATGATTTCTTGGAAAACGTCCAATAAACATGAAGTGGTGGGATTGGTATTTTAGAGGTATTTATAAAGCAGAACATTTGTTTGTGTAGTAAGAGCGGCCACTCGATCAAGGAACTAAGAAATGTCCGCCAACCTTAAAAGTCAGGTGAGGTAACTGCATGTAAAACAGATGTGACAAACGGTGTGACAGTGGTCCCTCAGTGCTGACATGTATAATATACATTGTACAATATATATTGTACAATATACATTGTATAATATACGTTATACATTGTATATTCTATGAATCTCTAATGTAGTCTAATGACCCTCTCTCTTTTAGTCCCAATAAAGTTAGCATCAAGAATATGTCAGAATCTCATCTCTTCTCTCTCTTTCTCTCTGTCTCTCTCTTCTCGTAGTAATAAAATGTTTATCAAATATGCGAAAGAAATGATTTTGAGTGAGGTTTATCCTATTTATACACAATCATTCAGCAGATCAGTTAAATACATCACCTCATACCGGTTATTACGGTCACCATTTAAAACAATTTAACGAAATTCTAAAACAGTAACAAGAATCATTGAGTCATCATCTCCCAGATAGTTTCACAGTTACATAATACGGACAGACTCAGTTCTCACACCAAAACACACACACCCCATCTTGGAAGATTGCCAAATAATTTAAATCAATTACCAACGCATAATAATACCATCATAATATTCTGAGGCGCTTTCTGTCCGGAGATGTGTTACACTTTAGAGCGATTCCTGGACAACAGTCATTCCAAATCAATAAATACTGGATAAGGCAGTAAGTGTAACGACAAGTGCAACAATGAAGCCATTATGTTTTAACATTACCACAATTTAGCAAATAAGAGGACGCGTATTGTTATAACTTTATAAGTTTATACACGCCTTTGCATTGTAATCATGTATACACAGGGGGCCAGGAGGGCCGGGGTGGGGAGTATGTTTTGGCGCTATTTAATTCTGTCAAATCACTACAAAAAGCCCACAAAAATTCCTTGCTCAACAATTTCAGGTTAAAACACGTCATGATCCTGACGCCTCATGTTATCTCCATTCAAGTCTTATCTCTCCTGTGGACATGGACGATTTTACGTGCATTTTCACGTGCACGATTTTATGCGCATTTGCACGTGCACGATCTTATGTGCATTTGCACGTGCGGTTTAGTCTTTCGGTTGATCTTATAACCTCTTGAGGGTGGTGATGTCTGTAATTGTGATGTGTTGTGTACACGCGTGTGTAAGGTGTACAATATTATCTCTCTCATTTTGCAAACTTCTTCGTCCACAACCGAGCCAGCCTGAGACAAGTTAACATTTAACATTAAGTTAATATTATATTGTGTACATAACACTTAATACTATCTTAAATAATATCAATACTTAACATTAATAAAACAATTATTACTAATAAACATGTAAATGTTACAGGTTAATTTGGAAATATTGTCTAGACATTCATCAGCTCACAACAATTACTGTCAATGTGTATTGTGTATCTTCATGGTACTAGAAACTTATTAAAGATTAATTAAAAGTAGATTAGATGGTCCGTTCGAGTAATGTCAGCGGTGGAGACGGTGGTGACGCCAACTCCAACATATTTAACCCGAAGAAGAAATCATTTGTATCAACAACCATTGCATTAATGATCAGCTTCGCCACATTTAACATCCGTGGGCTCGGTGTTCAGCAAGATGATAGCCTACATAGTAAACGTGAGTTACTAGGATTAGACTGTGAAAAGTACAATGTCGACATCTGCGCTCTGCAGGAAACTAAAGTCACCGAATCAGACAGCCTTGTTTTGCGCAACGGTTTTAACTTGTTTCTGTTCGAGCAGTTGGACAGTCGCCATGGAGGCTTGGGTTTTATAATCAGTCCTCGCATGATGAACTATGTGGTTTGCTGGAAGTACATCAGTGACCGGGTATGCTATGTCGATATTTGCATCCCCTCACGTAGCGGTACACCCCTACGTTGCAGGGTGATCAATGCCTACTGTCCACATCAGGGGCTAGTCCGTAAAAATCCAGTTGTTTTGGATAACTTTTATGGGCAGCTAAGAGAGGCCAAGAATGTACCCTCTAATGTGGAGTTGCAATTTCTGGGTGACTTTAATTCAAAACTGGGTAAATTATCCCCTTCTGATATTGAACAGGGTTTTGGTAGATATATGGGGAAATACGGAATGGGAGTAAGGAACGAAAATGGTTCTAGATTACTGGATTTTATCTCAGAAAATAATCTGTTTGCTGTGAACACTAGTTTTATACAACCTAGCAGACGTGTTACATCATTTACTGGTTGGCGGAAGGATTGGTCGGCTGGTCGGTACAGTAAGAAGACACTGCCTGTATACTCTCAAATAGATTACATACTATGCCGAAATAGATCTAAGTGTCTTTTGACTCAATCAAGAACTTATGCTGGTACTAAAACATTTTCAGATCATAGACTTGTCATTGCTCGCATCAATTTCAGCAACATTCATCTTTGTTTCAAACCTAAACAACGTCGTGTTCCTTCTTATAATATATCAGAACTTGTAAGCAACAAAGATATGCAACATAAATATCACTTGGCCCTTGAAGGCAAGTTCTCAAATTTTGCGACCAGCAACGATCCAAATGCCGACCTTCAAAATCTTATGTCTCATATTCGTGATGCTGCCAATGTTTCCATCGGCCCAAAACCTAAAGCTCGCTTGAAACATCACAGCAGTGATGACACTCTCAAAGAGCTTGTTGAAAAGCGTCACGATCTCCGACAGCTACTTAACAATAATCAATCTCTTGATCGAACTACATTGAGGTCATCCATCAACCACCTCACTAATAGTATCCAGAAAAGATTAGTTGAAGTGAGGTCTGCTCAAGCTGATCAGACCTATAGTGATATTACTAACACAAACGATTCAAGGAAAATGTTTGAAGCAGTAAGACATCTTCAGAAAAGTAAACCACCTAATAACTCGATTGGTGTTCATGATGAAAATGGCTGTTTGATTGCATCTGACGACATGAAAGCTTCTGTTGTTAGAGACTATCTCGAAAAACAGCTGACTCGCAATGAGCAACCTCTCGAGCCTTTTGAGGGTCTACCACGTGCTCTCAATGTCCCTTTTACTGGAGTTGAAATACATGCAGCCACCTCTAGCTTGAAAAATGGGAGGGCAAATGGTCCCGATGGAATACCCAACGAGCTAATTAAGTACTCTAATAGTACAGTCCATGAACATTATGCTGGAATCATCAACAGTTGTTTCGAGACACATACTTTCCCCATTTCCATTGGAGAGGCTACTATAACACCCTTACAGAAGCCAAAAAAACCTATTGGTCCTCTGAAGAATTTACGTCCACTCACCTTGTCCAATGCAGCCAGAAAAATTCTGTCTATGGCTACTCTTAAAAGGATAGAAGAAAAAGTGAACGCCTTCACTGGTCCATGGCAGTGTGCATATAAACGCGCTCGTTCTTGTGCTGATATTGTTTGGTGTCAGCGAGTTCTACTGTCAGTTGTCCAAAGGAAGAAATGGGAGTATCATCGCATGGGCATTGATATGTCTAGTGCGTTTGACACGATCAAACGCACTACGATTCTTGAACTCCTGAAACTGTGTGGCTGTACTGAGGATGAGCTGAGGATTGTCCGGTTGTTGTTGTCCAACACAAAGCTACGGGTGAAGGTAAATGGAGTTCTTTCACTTTCAGCTGAGTTTTTAAGTCTCCTTGGAGCTTTCCAAGGTGACTGTCTATCCGGCTGTCTGTTCACCCTTGTCTTGGCTGGTGCTTTGAATGAACTTAGATGGACTATAACAATCAGTTTAGATAGGCCGATCCCCCCGATTACTATGGCTGGCCTTCCACTTGACACTGAATATGCTGATGATGTTGACTTCAATGATGAAGAGGAAGACAACTTGAGAGCTATTTTGCCCCAGGCAACAGCTATACTCGAGAAATGGAACCTCTTTGTCAATGAAGACAAAACGGACTTCACTCATGTTTATTTAGCTAGTACGGGTGAAGTCGACAGTGATGGAAAATTAGTGTCGGGGAATGAAGTATGGAGGAAAAGTATCACTCTAGGGTCCGTCTTGTGTAGCAAAGCTGATATTCAGCGTCGCATAAACCTGGGATATGCTGCCTTTAACAATTACAAGAAGGCCTGGAGTGATAAACTGCCCCTAAACAAACGTCTAATACTGTATAATGCTTTAGTCGTATCGGTTCTTATGTACAACTAATCCTGTTGGGCCGTCCCCAAAATATTCCTTGAAAAACTAGATGTTGTTCACCGCAGACATCTTCGCACTATTTTGAATATAAAGTACCCAGGAGTCATCTCCAACAAAAACTTGTATAAACGCTGCAATGCTGAGCCATTGTCAGAAAAAGTGGCCCGTAGTCGGTGGAGAATGTTAGGACATGTTTTGCGGGGTCCTATTGACGGACCAGCGTTTTCTTCCCTCATTTTTGCCATCAATACACTGGACTTACCAGGGAGAAGAGGAAGACCCCAAAGTAATCTATTCTCGCTGATTGTGCATGATTTATGTAAAAGAAATCTTTATTTGAATAATATCTTTGACCTGCATTATCTCCGTAATTTGAGTTATGACAAGAGATATTGGCGGAAATTGCAATGAAGTTCTTTATTTTTAGTTTTTTCTTTTAGGGAAAGATTAGAATTGGGCGTTGTTTTTTAACTATCCCTTGTTTAGAACTTTGATTTAATAATTAGTTTTAGTAATAAAACTTCAATAAACACCAATTCCCAACCAATTGCAATTAGCGGTCAATTAACGTAGTTCTTACCGGTCATGTTCGGACTTGTGTGTGAGAAACTGTTGAGCAATGTTGCCAACTAGAGGGTCAGCGGGATTACAGTCAGTCAGCAGCGAGCATATCGACAGTAAAACCTGCAAATATACAGAGATAGAGATCATATCTTGCTGCAAACACAAAGATAGAGATCATTCATCATATTATAACTGTATACATCATAATATAACTGTATACATCATAATATAACTGTATAACTGTGTTGAATGTATAACTGATATATAGCCTCTGAAGAGGCCGTGTTTCGTGAGGGCTTGTCAAAATGAGGTCATCTCTAAACTAGAACTATCTTACAAATCCCAATATACATTACCTTATATTACATTGAAATTAACATACTGATGATTAAGAAACCTCCCCTGAAAGTGTCTGAACTTAAGGCCGCTAAATTCTTGGAGCCGTTACGTGTCTGAACTTAATTCTTTAAGGTGTTACGTGTCTCTGATTAGGTCCGCTCAGATGAAGATGCTTCTTAATTTTTAGCTCACAACTTTATATGCACAAAATATTATGGTAATCAGTGATATGAAATGAAGACAGGAACCACATGGCCATGTGGAGACAGTTGAAACTTAACAACAAATACCGTTACTAGGCAACGTCGTGATAAGAATAAAGTTGTGATTACAATGAAATTACCGAAGTAGTCATCCAGAATGGTCTCATAAATTATGCTAATTGATCTAATTACATAATTAATGAGGTTGTTACCTTGCTGATGGTCAGTGCAGGAGACCAGTTATCTTTGAGAATGTCCAGACAGATGTGTCCTTGACTGAAAATAAAATCGTCACTAAAATAACTGAACGTCACACTAGCTGAACCTCATACTTAGAAACAAATTGATACAAATCCCACGTTAATTAATTAGTAATTACCCCGCTAATTAATTACCGGACCAAGAAACCTAATCCGGTCCAGTGTTTAAGGTTTAGGACTTTAGGGTGCAAACAGTATAAAGGATATAAAACGTGTACTGTGTTACTTCACAGTTCCCCCCCCCTCAGTGTTACATGACAGTACCAAGCTGAAATAGCCCCGTCATTACATGTGATTGTGTGATATTAGATGAAACATGACGTCATGTACTACGACCACGCTGTAAAATTAATCGTCGTTTTGTACACATGTACAAGTAATATCCGCATACTCCGCATACTCCGCATACCCTAATTAATTGAAAATGTCTAGAATACGTATGTACAGTCTGTGTAGAGTGTATATGGGGGTATTTTACGGGCTTCACATCGGAAGATAGCGTCTCACAATGGACCAATCCTATTAAGGTTTGTATTGGCTAAAACTGCGTTCCACATACAATGAAATTACAGGAAGTGTGGCCCAGATTTACCGTTATATTGCGCGATCCCATTTACTGGTGACTCAGTCTTGTTTAACATGATATTGTAGGAAAGTAAGGAGGGTGTGTCTCGCTATATATCCCCCAGAACGGTCCTGCTCGTGATATTCTCACGTGGTAGTCAGGTGTTATGTCAGTACAAGCACTTTGGTAAGATTAAAGCACCAACAACCCACATGTGCACAAAATACCGTCTACCAGCCTTGCTCTAATGAGCCCAGTTAACCAACTTGTGGATTCTAAGGTCGCTGGGGAATAAAAGCCCAGCTTGTGTAAAGCGATTCTAATATCTTGTAAAGCAATTCTAATATCGTGCCAAAGGATGATATCAAAATAACTGTGTTCTGACTGAAACCATTAAGAGGGTTTAATATCTGTAAAGATTGTGTGATAACCAATACTGAGCCAATTGGTACAGTGAGTGTACACTAAGACAGGTACCACGTGTCGAATAGTCTACCGGAATGAGGAATCCCGGCTTCATTCTGGTCCTGATCAAAATCGGACATTTTTTTGGAATTCAGGTACAGGTCCTGGTAAAAACTCGGCATTCGGCATTTTGGCCGGGACCACACGAATTTGTTTTGAATTTGTGATAATCTTGAGTTGAAATCCGAAATGTCGTTCTAAGTAACAAAATGCAATTTAGACACTTAATATAATATTTAAATGACATAAGCATTCGCCTTTTATATTATGGCGAGCGCATACCTAACATTGCTAATCTGCAACTGATAAAATTCTAAATGAATGCGATACAAAGCTTTTTAGATGCTGTTATCATCGCTGATTGCACCAAAAACTGGTGATATATAATATCTAAGGTCACGTGGTATAAAGTGCTTAAGGGGGCATACCCCAAAACAGTGGTTTGTGCCGTCCAGACCAAATGACCTCATAGGCAGTTCAGTGACCTTCTAGCGCACCGTTTCCACACCAAAATAATTATTTTGAGAATACCTATTTTTGTAATCGAGCATTTCCTGGTTAAGAGTGCAATTTTCGGAAAAAATTATTTTGTGGTTGAGACGCTATAAGTTAATCATTTCTTGCGGTATCGGGTTGAAATTTTGCTCGCCGTTTATTCACATCTATGTCAAGGTGTGTGTAAAATCTTGATATCGTATCTAAAAAGGCTGGTGTGTTATGAATTTTTAAAGTCAAAAAGCTAAAATTGTCCTTTTCAGGCTTATTTTAACAAAAAGTCAGTCAGTGAAGATCGGATTATTTGATGCTTGACATCAAATTGTTCTCTGAATTCTGGCGCAGTTTTTGATGCCCTCAAAAATGTTTTTACTCATTCACCTTCTGATCTATTGGACCTCAAAGCCAAACAACAAATTTAGGCACATTTTTCGTTTTTAATATTTACTGATTTTTCTAAAAGCATTTTAGGGTGTTTTGTTGTTCATAACTCATATATAAATGTGCTAGTTGCGGTTATTTTGCACCCTTCAAAAAGTCACTAGTACATTCCTATCAAAATTTTAGAAAAATCAGTAAATATTAAAAACGAAAAATGTGCCTAAATTTGTTGTTTGGCTTTGAGGGCATCAAAAACTGCGCCAGAATTCAGAGAACAATTTGATGTCAAGCATCAAATAATCCGATCTTCCCTGACTGACTTTTTGTTAAAATAAGCCTGAAAAGGACAATTTTAGCTTTTTGACTTTGAAAATTCATAACACACCAGCCTTTTTAGATACGATATCAAGATTTTACACACACCTTGACATAGATGTGAATAAACGGCGAGCAAAATTTCAACGCGATACCGCAAGAAATGATTACCTTACAAGACATATTTATGTGGATCATAATTCTGGGGATCGGAATTATGGGGGAACGAAAATATGGGGATTTTTTTCAGAAATCCCCAAATTTCGTACCCCAAATTAAATTTTCGCATTTTCACGCTAAATTATTTCAGATAAATCAAAATCAGTTTTTGATGAAATTTTTAAAAATCGTGAAAAACTAATTAAAAATCATTCTCTTCGTTTAAATCGTCTTCATCGTCGTCTCTTTCACCTTGAGTCTCCTCACCGGTGTAGTCCCAGGTGTATGCCTCCCTCAACACTAGGAGTTTGAGCTTGTCAATTAAGTCTCCCCTACTCTTGAATGTGAGACTAAGTTTGACTTCTAACCCTCCAGAGAAAAAAAACAGTATTTTCTATTCAGTAATTTTTATACTAAGTAACTTTCTATTTACCTGAGAAATGCGTATCCTTGTCTCACAAAACACGTAAAACAACTTATTTGACAAATTCACCTCAAATTAGCTCTATTTAAGCCAATTACATAAAATTAATGTGTGGGATTTTGAAATGGCGGCCACAATTTTGGTAGTACGAAAATATGGGGATTTTTTCCAAAAATCCCCAAATTTCGTACCATATAAATATGTCTCGTAAGGTAACTTATAGCGTCTCAACCACAAAATAATTTTTTCCGAAAATTGCACTCTTAACCAGGAAATGTTCGATTACAAAAATAGGTATTCTCAAAATAATTTTTTTTTGGTGTGGAAACGGTGCGCTAGAAGGTCACTGAACTGCCTACAATGAGGTCATTTGGTCTGGACAAATTTGGGGTATGCCCCCTTAATACTGGTTGAGTAGTAATCTCATTATTTTATGTGCTTTTGTATCGATTTTTACTGCTCTTATCAGCTTACACTATCTACTGTTACCATCGGCTACCTGTCACCGTGTACATATTGTATTCACCGTGTACATTGAACCATGGGAAGTAATCAGAATCAAAATGACAGTGAAAACATTAAGATCATCATCGGGAAACTCCTTGATAAGGCTGAAATACCTATCAGACCGGTTATCTCCACTTTTGACAGTGTTCAAAGTCGTACGGCCATTGTCAAGCGACTCGATCAGTTTACGGTTTTGTTACTTGAAAGTTGTGCTGAGTTTCTCGGTATTGCTCTTGCTGATCAGAAGGGTTTCAAAGTCTTTGCTAAGCCAGCTCTTATGAATCGTATTTATTTCGGTTTCAAAGCTCTCTTACCCACCAAATGTAAAGAATGTGGTGAGGACTATGTTATTGACCACGAACCTCAAGTACCGCCTTTTTTCAACTGCTTTAGATGTTTTAAAGGTTCTCATGATTGCGAGAGGAACAGAGTGCTGCACGAGACACTATCCAACATGAATACCCCTGCAGGATTTGTTTGGTTGTGTGATAAGTGTCATGATATTGTTGATCCGATAGAACCCAGAAAACATAAGTCACGTCATAATTCTGGAACACTCCCTGCTGGGGATCAGTTTTCTGACAGCTCTAATGACTTATCAAGCATTGCTCTCCAGAACGCTATATCGTCAACCCAATATGATCTCTCTCAAAACACACCTGAGCATCGTCCTCCTCCTCAAAACACACCTGAGAATCACGCTGCCCCATCCTCCAACGAAACTTGTCGGAATTTTCTAAATTGGAACTGCCCCCACGGTATGAGCGGGAAGAAGGAAGTTAGTGGGAAATGCTGCTCCTATATTCATCCCCGGGTGTGTAACCAGTTTCGCATGTCAGGGACGACAGGTAGAAAGGGTTGCAAAAAGGGCAAGAATTGTCCTTTTTTCCATCCTGAAATCTGCAAAACTGCGCTTGACATCGGTTCATGTTCTAAAAAGGATTGTTCGAATTTTCATCCTCGCTCCGCTCGAAAGAAAAATAACAACAACAACAACAACAACAACAACAAACCCAGCAGTGTCCCCCGAAAAGCGAAGCAGAAACAAAATGGTGCAAATCAGAACGTCAGCAATTCTGAATCGAGCAATTTTTTAGAGTTGCGAAACTTGGTCACGGGTATGGCGACCAAGTTATAGGCGATGGAGAAGAAGATGAGCCAAGGTGCACCAGCGTGCCATCCTCACACGCAGCCAACTTCAGCTCTCCAAGCTCCCCCCACCATGATGTACCCGGCTCCAGCACCCCAGCCTATGATGTCTCTAGGAGTGCCCAGGCTACCGCCCCATCCCATGCCTTACTCTCATCACTCCTTCTACTAAATGCGAGGAGCTTGAATCCGTCTGCGAATAGTGTCGGTAGATGGAAACTTAATGACCTTATTGGTCATGTTGAGGAAAAACGAGAGTCAGGGCACTTGTTCCCCTTCATCGCGATTACGGAGTCCTGGTTAAAGTCATACTACAGTGACGCTCAACTCCAGATACCGGGCTACTCAGTTTCAAGATGTGACCGTAGCAAGAGGAGTGGAGGAGGTGTTCTTCTCTACTCATTGTCGTCTCTCCCAGTGTCAGCTTCAGAGTTTTACGACGACGGTACTTGTCAGGGGCTGTGCAATGTTTACCCATCTGCAAAGCTATTGGTGGCAGTCATCTACAGACCCCCTGATGCGAGCCTATCAAGCTTCTCAAAGCTTTTGGATCACT